TTTCACTGGATGTGATCTAATTCATGAGGTCCTTTCACTGGATGTGATCATATCTAATTCATATGAGTTCCTTTCTCTCAAGGTGATCTAAAATCGCTTCAGTTTGTTTCTGCGATTAGCTGAATGTTCGAGCTAGACTTTTGCAATAATCGTTTCAAAGTGATTCAGTTTCGAATTTACCTGCGTCACTGAGGTAACGCACACTTGCGACTTTGTGATTAATAATTGAGTCCCTGTCGTGAAAGCCAGACTTCATGCCTTCCCATCATAGGAGTGGATGTGGGGAGGAGCGAGGATGGGCTTAGCTATACATACTACTTACTACTGTCGCTCCTTAAAAAAATACTATCGGGATGTTGCACCGTAATCATGGCCATAGCGATACCATAGTTTTCGTTCCACTCTGACTCATGTTCAGTTGTTGAAGGCGTTCAATAAAGAACAAGCATTAATTTCACTAAATGCTTAACAGGACAAATATAGCTACGGTACTAACCTAGCTATGTTGTCCTACCTATACCAGTTGAAAGGATAAAAGCTACTCTTACAAATGAATTGTCCGCTAGATAGTACTAACCTATGTTATGTACCAGTTGAAAGGACAAAGCTACTCTCAGTAATGAATTCTCCTTTTATATACGGTACAGTGTGTGGCCCAGTATCCTGCCACTTAAGCTAAAAATCGCTGTAACTCCCTTTTATTAAATGGTATTTTTGGTATTTTTACTTGTCTTCCACTGCAGGTGACGTGGTCCTTAAAACTAAGTCTTACCTACAGATCAGATGTGGGCCAGTAGCATCAATAAAATTCAGTATGGCAACTATTCCAGGTGATTAACTCAGTCGTTATGACCCTTTGTTAATTTGTTGTCGAAAGTTTGACGGAAAAGTCGACCTGCAGTTTGAGGTCTGCAGTATCTAGCAAGAACGCAGTGCTTAAGGTCTTCAGTGTAGTTCCAGACTTAATTAATATGCGCCAACCCACCCGCGCGCTCTTAGAAAAACCTTCGGGAAAATGGCGTGGGCAGGGCCATACGGCTTTGAGCGAGCAGGGCCGTACGGATGCGTACAGCCCTGCTCGAATCCGCGCGCTTTCTCTTTTTTAGATTTTATTTACTATTTCTTTCTTTCTTTTATTTTTTTAAATTATTTTTTTCGTGAGGTTCATATGATAAAATGCTTATTGACTAAGTTAGGTCGGACCGTACGGGAAAATATTTGGCTCTCGGTGATTTGTACGGCATCACCTCGAGCCAATTTCCCGTACGGCCCTCTCACTCAGTCAATAAGTACATAATATGTCAGGTTAAAGTTAAATTTGGTTATTTGGAAAAAAAGGATACTCTTAAATATGGTCAAGGATACTCTTAAATAAGATCATTTGAAAAATGGATACTCTTAAATACGGTCAAGGATACCCTTAAATATGGTCAAGGATACTCTTAAATACAGTCACTTAAAAAATAGGATACTCTTAAATACGGTCAAGGATACTCTGTAAATACGGTCATTTGAAAAAAGGATACAGAGTCAAATTAACTCCCCATACTCAAATACCCCATTAGAAATAAAATAAAAAATTCCAAAACAGGAAAATTGCATGGGGTCCTTAGCAGAGGATCACATGTTATGTTGATAATCTTTAATGAGGGAAACCTACTCACTGGACGTGGTTTTCAGTAGTGCCCTAAATAAGAATATACAGCGAGTAATATTACAATAATATAATTAAAGAAATATGAATAAACAAAAATTTGCATAAAAACAGAAATTAATAAAAAATATAAAAGAGTGGTCTAAAACGTCTTATGATATATACAAAATATTAAAAAGCTAATAAATATTTTTAAGAGATCTCTTGCAACTGAGAAACTCTGTTAATGCGCCCAAACAATCATTTATAGGCAGGAGTGGTTCAGGGGGTTATACCAAATTATGTGCTGTCATTCCTTGAGCAACTGAGGCAAAATGTCTACGATTTATAACCCACAAGGGAGGAAAACTAAACAATACAATACTACTTTATTATTAATACTCCCTGTGGGGCTTTTCGACTAAGAAACGGAAGAAACACAAAGAGGAACCATAAAAAAGGAGGAAAGTGGTTTGGTTTTCATAAAGTTTTCAATTGTAGACAGATAAACGCAATAGAAAAACAAAAAAGAATTAGAGTGCAAAAGTACTAAATAAACTAAAGTGTACTTCACGAGTTTAGAGTGGTTTTCATTAACCCATGAAACAAAGTGTACTAATTAGAATGTAATAAACGGATAAACACAATAGAAAACAAAGAATTAGAGTGCAATAGTACTAAAAGCTAAAGTGTATGTACTTCACGGAGTTTCGGTGAAAACCATTCTAATAAGTTCTCATACATTTATTACTGGGTTGCCTGTGGTAAACTACTCTTAAGATGAATCGCACTCTCCGTGTTTTTTTTGTTTTTTGTTTTTTGTTGTTTTTCTTTCTTTCTTTCTTTCTATCTATATATCTATATATATCTATATATATTTGTTTGAGAAGAAAAAGTCAAGACAACATTTTTCCCGACAAGCCTGTTTCGTGAATTGCTTCACTCTTCAGGGGATTTAATGATAAGAATATTCGTTACT